CGTCATACATCACACCGAGGAATTTTAGTTCATGTATCTAAAATGCAACGGTATCGAGTATCAAATTGTTGAAGAGTGTGCATCCATTGTCTGTAATAACGCACACCAAATATTGCTTCTAATTGTTTCTAATCCTCAACTTTTAACTCTTTACGCAAACATCGTATAAACGCAAGGTTTTTATCATGTTATGTTTCAAACCCACTCCAACCCTTTAATATGAGCCTACCGGGTTATTAAAAAAATTCCAGTCACTTTTCCAGATTATTCCGGGTTATTCAAAAAAATTCCAGTTACATCAAAATTCCAATCACTTTTCCCGTTTCAAGCGGCAATTAAAAAACAGCCGAAATGCTGGGTGCCTTGACACACTTAGGTGTCTCCACCCCACAACCTGGAACAGTCTGCCGGCTTCCGTAACTTTGGCTCCTTCGTTGCCGGTGTTTCAATGACGCCTAAAAACGGAACTATTTCGTAGAGCCTATTAATCAAGTGCTTAGTCATTTTATCCGTTCCTATCCTTTCATGTGTCTATTTATTTTTCGCTTGTAATTAATCTTATTTGTGACGTGCCTTCGCAGTTCGTTTGAACCAGACGCCGCGATAAATACTTCGAAGAATAATAATAAACATGCTTTGATTTATGAGATCGACCAGGAGTCAAGAAATATTTTTTTTTTCTGAGATTCACGCACTATCACAGAGAATAGTATATTTCTATGATGTATCTTTAGATAATTTGGCAGTTATACTTTTGCGGAAGTGAACTTGATGTAAAAGCAAGTGTCAACGTAGCTATTGTCACAGCTGTTGGTTGTATATGTGTACATCTCGCTGATGAAGCAAAGAATATACAAGGCGGATTAGAACTAACGGTTTTGCGCAAGTTGTTTTTGTTCAGCATGAATGGTATAAAATTACAAGGATGTAAAATGACAGTATGATTTGAAATTTTATGTACGAACTTGTCTATGTACAGCATAACATAGATGAGGTAAGTTCATCATTACAATTAGTCGACATTCGATACAGCAACTGCGAGGGAAATATTCAACCATGCCGTGCGGCACAGAGATTCGGTTTATAGGCATAAATGACTTGAAAATTCTACAAACGATGACGGAAATTTCTATGAAATATGAATCGATTCATTCAAATAAACGGTGCAAATAAATAATTACTTTTAGTGATGATGAAATACACGAAACTTTTCAACAATGTTTTGTTCCGAATGTTACCAAAATCACGAAACGAGCGAGGTGAGAATCATGCTATTTGTGATGACTATCCAGTACACTAGCAAATTAACGGCACATTACACAGCAAATGAACAACAATACTGAAAATAACTTCAACATTAAAAGGAATAACTACCTAAATTAAATATGAACAATGGTTCCTTGAGCAAACATGAACATTGTCTCAAAATGCCGAGTTTTTTTATAGTAGTCTTTAAAAACTCTCCAATGAACTTACACCTAATTTGGAAACTAAGCTTTTTATTAAAAATATTTACTAATAACGATTGTATTCCTTTCACCGATAAAAATCTACACTTTTTTAGCCTAAATCATAGTACTAAAGTTGTAATCAACGCGGATGTTCGAAGTTATTTCACTTATAGCAATAATCTTAATTTTAAAATACAACAACGACCAAATCATTACAAAGATAATGTTCAAAATGTTAATTAATCCTCTAACGCTTTAGACTAAACAGTGTTTCTAACTGCCAGAATAAATCTATGTAGGCATGGAAGTCTATTAATAACTATCATGTATAGATATTATTTTCATTTTAAGCCTTGGCTGTACGTTAAGCCACAGCTCGCACATTAAAAATATATCCTAAATGCGCTTATAATCTTTTCGTGGACCAGTCTATATTTTTTTCGGAAACTACAATTTTAAGCCTTGGCTGTACGTTAAGCCACAGCTCGCACATCAAAAATATATCCTAAACGCGCTTATAATCTTTTCGTGGACCAGTCTATATTTTTTTCGGAAACTACAATTTTAAGCGACACGTAGCACACGTGTTCCAAGAAATGGGGTGAACATACAGTTAATGTACGGTGAAAATATGCATAGAGTTAGAAAATGCATAACACTTCAATATAATATTGTTCATTTAGGTGCATCTTCAAGATTTGAATGGACACTTTCTCCCTTGCAAACTCTGGTAATTTCGATCTGAAGAATATACATGGAAAATGTTTAATTGTTTAGACCCAATAATTTACGTGTAAGAGCAGAAAAACACAGACTGCATAAATGCGTTTAAAAACGTTCAGATTTAAACAAATTAAGGGTGGAAATTTTAAACATTTAGATCTAAACAAAGGGTGCAAAGTCAAATAAATAACTGCTTAAACAGTAAATATTTCATAAGTGCCATGCAGGCAGAGTCGTTCATACCTTAACTTACGACAACTTCTTAACAATGTAACACGACGTAACTTCTTAACAATGTAACACGACGTAACAAAGTGAAACTCGAAACACTTAATGCAGGTGACTTTCGATCAGGAAAAAACACTCAAATTCGTTGTTAAACAAATAGAATGAATCAATTCTATACATATGTGTTACGTAGCTGTTTTTAAATATATACAAGACGTTTATATAAAAGGCATGAGCAAGCTTTCATGTTACACAATATAAACAAGTTTCGATGTCTTTATAATAAGATGCTCGCACAGAAAGCTAATACTAAACATGCATTTCAGTTGGAAATATTTAACATTTTTGTCTCGTTTTCGGTAAGATTTTACGATTGGCAGCAGCTAATGCAATTCATTTTTTTATCTCATGTTATTGGAATTTCTTCAAATGTGATCATTCGCAAATACATGATAAAAACGGAACACAATCTCTATTAATGAATTTTTGTTCATTAAAAACATTTTGTATCGTGCTCAACTGTAAATATTCGTACAGAAGAAACTTATGGCAAAATAACCCGTTAAAGACGCACGTTCTCTTGATTTGTGGCGAAATGCTTACTGCAAGGTCGGGGAATAAATTTAAGATATTGAATTTAAAATAATAATAATAAATTTGGTGACTTATCTTGGGTGCTATTAGCACGGCAATATCTTCAATAGTTGAAATTGTGGGAAATTTATTATTCAAGTTTTAAAATCTATTTTTTTAAACGATAATTATTTGACACAGAAGTAAACTTTTGGCCTCTAAATTTTAAAGCCTCTGAAAAAATACGATAAACTAGTCGCTGAATTTAAAAATGCATACGATGCACAATGTACATTAGATAATAAGAATATCGAATTTTAATAAAAATGTGAAAAATATGTTTCACTTAATAACCTTAAAATACCGATAGAAGTCGTGCCGGGAGCTAGCGAGTAATTTTTGGTGATTATGACCAAACTGTAACAGTCAATTTTCTGTAAAGTTTTCTATGTGCCAAGCATCATTTCCAGTCCAAGAAAATTAATTACTCTCCAAAAATGGATCAGTAAAAAATTAATAAGAGGCATGGATCAGGAAAAAGTAAATGAAATAAGAAAATGGATCAGGATCAGTAAAAAATTAATAGGAGGCATGGGGGTACAGGAGGGACTTCTTTAGTTTGAGGTCTCACTCGATTGGTCAGATAATTGTTGATTTTTGCAGATTAGAAGAAGAAAGGATAAGCAGATTTTTGTAAGCTGAACCTGCAATACAGAAGCGATCTGGAAATGACTTCCCCAACAAGCGAAATCTTACTCTTCAAAATTTGGCACATAGTTTTCAAGGCATGATCACGAACGATTGTTCACATGAACATTAATTTAGAATATTACGCAAGAGACATCCTTACATGTCGAAATCTACAAGCTATGACAATAACAAATAACAATAATAACATTATTACTATACTAAATGCGGATGTATAAACGCTTGAACACGTCGCAGCGCTTGTCAACGACCAAAGAACAAACTCAAAAAGTCCAAAGTTGCATTGTACTAAGTTTCAGCAGAGAGTTTGAATACTTACTTAGGTCTTTCATGAGACAAAGTATAAATTGTTTGTGAACCACTCAAACATTCTTTTCGATTTATAAACAAATGTTCTATTACATGACCAGTTCTGAAGAGTTTAATATTTTGTATCGGCAAGCTTATTTTTATCAACAGGCGGGATATAACTAAGATAACTGGGCTTCATGCCTACCAAATTCAACGATAATTCCTAATCAATAATTACATACATGTATTAGTCATAGCTGAGCGGTGTAATTCAAAGCATTTAGTTAATATTTCGTCAAAAAAAATAAAATAATTTTTTTTTTTAAATTTCATACGGTCCACAAATTCCCCCATGCACGGGAATTTCCCGACATCCGCACGAAAAATCAGATTTGAATCATACGAATTCGAATCTGAAATTTTAGTTTGTAGGACAAAAACGACAACAATAAAAGAAATAATGGATTAAAATTTGATGGATTGAGTGCGGCAGTCGCCATGGTGGACATCGCCACGTTTGGCTGATAGAAATTTATTGCATTTACTCTTTGCTTGATCTGAGTTAGCGAATTAGCTCCATAGCCGAGTTTGTAGTTAAGATGTTATTAGTTTGTATGTAATATGTTATTTTAGAGCTCTTGGCTACGTAGCAAACAAACACTCAGCATAGGTAGCAAGTTATGAGAGTGATTCTTTAAGATATTACAGGAGACGAGTTCGATATAATATACAAATATTTTTACTGTATACGTTCTTAGTCGTGGCAATTGTATGGGTGAATTTCTGCAGCAATGTGCCGCCTCCAAAGAAAAATTCCTCTTTTCTGAACTTTTCAAAAGATGCAATGAATTAGAAAGCATATTTTCAATAAATTTTCAAGATCGGTTAGTTGTAATCTTCCGTTCTTTAGCTGCATTATATAGTTTTCATAATAAATTATTGGTAGGATATTTCCATTCATTGTTAGCATTCAACAGTGGGCATTTTTAGCATTTATTCTGCCATCTGAGCAGGCGTTTGTCCTACTCTAGGTACTGGTAGGGTACGTGTACGGAGATGCCCTGGTACTCTACCATGACGTGACCACGACGATGACTTGCACCCACCACCATCACCACGTCTCCCTTCACCAGCACCGCATCACCACCACCATCTTCTGCGAACATATTTCATCATTTCGATGCATATTTGTCATATTTTTTCGATGTTGTCATATTTTTTGCAACTACAAAAATTTAATTTTACAAACAAATGACTTTTTCGGTTGTGAAACAAGCATTTTACTGCAAAATTCTAAAGATGACGTTAGATGATATATTATTATATTTATTTATAGCGTAATTACGAAATTTGTCCATCGCAACTATGACAAACAATCTGAAATAAACTGATCGGCTATCGCTGCAGTGTTATTGGCGTGTTACTTATATGATGTAATTAAAAATGGTTTAGCTACGGTATTCAATTAATTTTAGAAACGTGCACACAGAATAATTAGTAAGTGTATGTGTTCTTCCATTGTTCTATTAAATCCATTTACCCCATTTACCTGACGGTTCTACAATTCAGAACATTTTTCAAATAAACTAGGCCAACCGTTACGAAAAAACTTTGGTACACCCAAAAAAATTTTCAATCATAGAAAAGAAAGTCTTTGATGGCTAACTTCAATATTCTGGCTTTGATGGCCAACCAATATCAAAGTTTGTCAAATAGCTTAGTTAATTTTGTCTTGTAAACTCATAATATTTCAAATATTTTGATTATATGAATGAAACTATTTTTATGATATTATTTTACGCTGCTATAATACCATTATTACAAACATCTAATATATTTAAATGTTTGTAACTATTAAATAATTCGTTATTATTGAACGATTTTGGAACATTTACTCAAATATTCTTATGGTGCTATTACATACGGTAACATTACAGATGGTGATATTATATACGGTAACATTACAGATGGTGATATTACATGCGGTAACATTACAGATGGTGATATTACATGCGGTAAGAGATGCAGCATTAGAGAATGTCATTCGACATTCCGTCATAGGACATTAGGAGCAAATAGAAAAATTACCTCTGGACACAATCAACAGAAATTTAATTTTTACAACAAATTCTTGAGTAAAATAACTATTAAAATACTTTATTGATTCTAAGAAATTGCATCGATGGACACTCAACAACCTAAACATAACACGGCATAGATATAACTTCTGTAACTGAATAACGTTACCAGTAAAGGCTATAACCTATCACGGAATAAATACTACAAGTACGAGGTAATAACGTTATCAGTGAAGGCTANAGGTAACTGAATAACTTTACCAGTAAAGGCTATAACCTATCACGGAATAAATACTACAAGTACGAGGTAATAACTTTACCAGTAAAGGCTATAACCTATCACGGAATAAATACTACAAGTACGAGGTAATAACGTTACCAGTGAAGGCCATCTTGAGCACCCTGGTCTGCGGGTAGCCCAGCTTCTGGTTGCCCGCGATGGTGTAGGAGCGACTGGGGGGCACGGGTGGGGGGCGCTCCTGGAGGAAGGGGGTGATGATTATGAGGGTGGGTAAGTTAGTGATGAATTAATGGATGATGATGAATTAATAGATGAATAATAATTAATAATGGAGATAAATATGAACAATTTCAAGGTGTGGCAAAGAGGTATTTGGACGACATCCCCTAGGAGACGAAGAAAATAGAAGCTGGAGTAATAATTCTCTTTTCCATACCAAAGATGTACAATGACTGGAAAATCCGAAATGAAAAATAAAGTATATCATGAGGCTTGCTTCCTTCTGTCGTGAGGATAAAGCACCCCGGTTCCTACAGTGGCGAAAGATTATCAACAACGTGACTATAATTAGATAATAAAAATGAAGATACGGAAACAAAGCGACAAATAATAAATAATTTGGAATCAACGATCAAGAAATAAGCCGTCAAATGAAGGGCCAGAACAATCGGTTTACGACAGTTTGAATTTTTCCGGAAGAACGACACCAAGTTATTCAAATATTTGTGGAAATAACGCATTTGTAAAATTGATATCATTTGCAGAAAGATTGCCTTGCAAAATAGAAATTTGTGGGTATGCAATTTTTAAATGATGAATTGTTCATTGATAAACAAAGTTTAAATCCATCGAGCAATCACTCAGTATGAATTTATTGGTGTAGGCACTAAAGGAAATTTGAAATACAGATACCATAATTTAAAACCTAAGAAAAATAAAGGTATGATTATAATGTAGACTCTGCGACAGACTCGCTACAGTTGGGGTAAGCCAGCCATGCTTCAGTTGGGGTAAGCTAGCCATCTAATGGTCAGGAGGATGTTGGGGTAAGGTAGTTACCATTACAACCCCTGTCTCTTATACACATCTAGATGTGTATAAGAGACAGGTTCAGTTTCTAGTAGNATGGTCAGGAGGATGTTGGGGTAAGGTAGTTACCATTACAACCCCACCACAGTTGGGGTAAGCCAGCCATGCTTCAGTTGGGGTAAGGTAGCCATCTAATGGTAAGGAGGATGTTGGGGTAAGGTAGTACCCATTACAACCCCCACCACAGTTGGGGTAAGCTAGCCATCTAATGGCAATTAACCAAGTCAAGCTAGCCCTCTAATGTTAACTAACCAAGTCGAGGCCGAACAGGTCGCGTTAGCCATCTAATGGCAACTAACCAAGTCGAGGCCGAAGAGGTCGCAAGTTTGCTGGATGGTCTTATGGTCACATCGTTCGAGCCCCTCAGGTGGAGGTGTACAAGTTATGGGCTGGGGTCTCGGTCGCACCACATTCTGAGACCGAGTCCGTAACTCGAGGCTGCGGCGCAGAGTGGGCCACCGGCGCCGGGTGTGCCATCCTCGCCAGTGTGCCTGAATGAGCGTGGCACTGCGGTGCCGTGTGTCTATGCGCTGCATCTCCAGCTGTTGTCTGGCACCCTCGCTGCAATGAACGTTAATTGTTATACCGTGCAAGTATTATATATAACATAACAAATTTAACAAGAGTGAACACGCCCAAAGAGTGAGCGATCGCTATAATGTCTCAATAAGGTTGAATTTGAAGCCAACTAGAGGTGCCATCTATGCGCTGCATCTCCAGCTGTTGTCTGGCGCCCTCGCTGCAATGAATGTTAATTATTATACCGTTCAAGTGTTATATATAACATACCAAATATAACAAGAGTGAATTCTTCCAAAGTGCTAGCGATCGCTATAATGTCTCAATAAGGTTGAATTTGAAGCCAACTAGAGGTGCCATCAGGAGGAGCGCTGAAAAAATGAGCTGCATCTCCAGCTGTTGTCTCGCTCCCTCGCTGCAATGAACGTTAATTCTTATACCGTGCAAGTGTTATATATAGCAAACTCAACAAATAAAATAAGAGTGATACCGTGCAAGTATTATAACAAACTCAACAAATATAATAAGAGTGAACACGTCCAAAGAGTGAGCGATTGCTATAATGCCTCAATAAGGTTGAATTTGAAGCCAACTAGAAGTGCCATCTATGCGCTGCATCTCCAGCTGTTGTCTGGCGCCCTCGCTGCAATGAACGGTAATTGTTATACCGTGCAAGTATTATATATAACATAACAAATATAACAAGAGTGAATTCTTCCAAAGTGCTAGCGATCGCTATAATGTCTTAATAAGGTTGAATTTGAAGCCAACTAGAGGTGCCATCTATGCGCTGCATCTCCAGCTGTTGTCTGGCTCCCTAGCTGCAATGAATGTTAATTGTTATACCGTGCAAGTGTTATATATAGCAAACTCAACAAATAGAACAAGAAAGAACACTTCCAAAGAGGTCAAAGTGTGAGATAACAAACAGACTCAACATATATACCAAGAGTGAACACTTCCAAAGTGCGAGCGATCGCTAGAATTGTTATACCGTGCAAGTATAATAACAAACTCAACAAATATAACAAGAGTGAACACTTCCAAAGTGCGAGCGATCGCTATAATGTCTTAATAAGGTTGAATTTGAAGCCATCAAGACGGAAAATGTACACTGTTAGAAAAACGGTCCCACTGGCGTTCTAGTAGCCGGCCGCCCCGAGAAAATAAACTGTTTCGCCGTTTTTATCAGATATTCTACGGATTTCTAGTGTTAAATTAGTATAAAAACGGCGACACGGTGTTTCTTTTTACGTTCCGACCGGCCACTGAAACGCCGGTAATACCGTTAACGGTAATTTTTCTAACAGTGTTGGGTTTTATTTCAGCAGAAATAACGCTTGTATTTAGGGTAAATCTGCAACTTCTGCATAGTGGGGTCGCTGAAGAAACAACAATATTTAATTTAGCTAAAAGCTAATATAATTTGATGCATTGTTGTTGATGTTCCTTGTTGATTTTCGTGTTCAAAAAAGCACATTAGCTGCGATAATTCATCGTTTAATTCAGAAAGTTTTTTGAAAAAAAAAAATAAAACTAGTCAACATTTACGGAAGGTGGACAGACAACAGCAGCAGAATATACTCTAGTTCAAAAATTAAATAAACATCAAGCACAACTAATTGTAATTTATCCGTTTACCCAATCTTTACGATTAGTACGAGTTAAAGCAACATTTGAAGCTCTTGCCACATTCCTTTTGAATTTTTCACAGCAGATTTAATTTACTTTAAAATTCGCAGGAATTAGAATTGTTGAGTGGAGCTCCATTCTCATCCAGAAAATTTTCATGTGGTCACACGCATGGGCGTTACGAATATTTAGAGGGTTTATTACTAAAGCTCGCAAATTAAACTATGAAAAAGAACAGGGCTCATTGCATAAGTTTTTAAACTGAACGATAAAGAAGAACAGGGTTCATTGTATAAGTTTTTAAACTGAACGATAAAGAAGAACAGGGTTCATTGCATAAGTTTTTAAACTGAACGATAAAGAAGAACAGGGAACAGGGTTCACTGCATAATTTCGTTAATTTAAAGATAAAGAAGAACAGGGTTTATTGTATAAGTTTTTAACTGAACGATAAAGAAGAACAGTGTTCATTGTATGATTTCGTTAATTTAACGAAAAAGAACAGAGTTCATTGTAGAAGTGTTTTAACTTAATCATAAAGAAGAACAGGGTTTATGGCATGTATTACTTTGTTAACTGAGCGAGACGGATTAAAATTAAACGGTTTATGGAATTAATTCTCTAATTAAACGATACGGAATAACAATGTTTATTCCACAAGCTCTTTTACTAAACAATGCAATCTCAGAACTATAATAATTTATATCATCAAAACACAAAATAAGGCGGTATTCTATGAAAAAAATAAGACAATATCTTTTGAGATTATTCTCGTCCGACAAGATTCTCATTGAAATATGTTGTTACATGTAGGGTTACCTGTAGCGCGCGTATCTGCTTGATGACGGTGGGACGGTCAAAGAGACCGGGCGTCTCTGTAGGGTTAGCGCGCAGGCAGCGCACAAAGTGAGGCTTGGCGTGCACCAGCGTGCGCAACAGGTTGTCCAGGCGCGTGTGGAAGTCCTGGGTCAGGGTAGAGACTGGCTCGTCGCCATTTTGTCTGCACAGTGTATATTAATTAAATAAATTAACGATACTCAATATCTATCTATATTTTAGGTTGCCTATTTTATAAAAAATACTTGCAAATCACAAATAAATTCACGCTCGTCGCCATTTTGTCTGTACGGTAAATATGAATTAGATAAATTTATGATATTTATTATCTATCGACATTTTAGGTTGCCTATTATATAATTATAATGCATTTCAATTAATGTGATACTTTTTACATAAATAACATAACATAGTGATGTCAACGCTAAAGAATAGGCCTGATGTGGCCTGTCGGCGATTCTTACTTTTCGTGACTTGTTCACAGAAGATCTAATATCGTGTTATTTGACCGGATCTTTTCATGACTGACGATATAGTTTGAAATAGCTACTAGACTTCCACCAGGTTCGATAAGGAGCTAGGCATTTCAAGTCTGAACATATATTTCTCCATAGCTTTATCTAGTCTGTTCTTGAACGCGTTCATACATTCTTTTTGGATTCATTTTTTTTTCTAGAGGCCATAGAGGGCTTTTCGACTATCTTTTTTATTTTCTGTCCAGCCATTATAAAATGCACGAACTAGACCTCTTGAGCGGAGAAAAGGTCGGAGAAAAATACAAAACTGAGTTGAGTTGAATACAGTAAAGTTCCCTCGAAAATTTCGGCTGGCGGAACAGCTGAGCGAGGGAAAGACAAGGGGTGAAAATGAAAAACACAAATGTGTTACTTGCTCCTTGTCCTTATGAGTACAATGAATTATGAGATCGAATAAAAAATATCATATAACCTAGCTGAGTTGATATCAAACTCTTGTTATTTTAGTTCTTGAACGAAGAAAAGAATTTATAGCATAAGTTCTCAAACTGAACGAAGCTAGAAAGTCGAAGCAAGAAGCTGGAAAGTCGGAGTCAAACTCAGTTTCCGTTTTAACACTTTATGTGCGGCAACGGCCCACAGCGCTGGCAGCTGGCCTAAAAACGGCCAAGTCCGCTGCTAAAAAGGCCTATAATTCAAAATACACTAGTAAATTTGTAGGTTCAGGTACAAAAATTAAATTTTCCTTTTTTTCGTACATTTTATATTTTAATGAGGCAGTACTGCCATCATAAATTTTTGTCGACAAACGCAATTGAAAAAAAAAACTAAATCGCGGAATTTATCCGGAAAAAAGACCCTGCCACCCACCCGTGGGTCGTCCCGCACTTAACGTGTTAATTAAAAAAAGTTCACAAGAAATGTCAAAATATTAATATGCCCTTACGAAATTTTTATTATTAAGAATCCTCGCAACTCAAGATACACATTCAATCAGATTTATTACTATATCTAATATTATTTTGTATTATTGAATCTTGTACATGATCATAATCGATGATAAACCTGAGGGACGTGAGAAAAGTCACTGAAAGAATGAAAACAACTGAAATAAATGAACTGAGAGTATCTCACAAGTCGGTGTGTGAGGCCGGTGAGTAAAAAGGATAATGAATGAACTTAAAGCTCTGGGTAACTAAAAAGAATAATAAATAAACTAAGAGCATCTCACAAGTCCGTGTGTGAGGTGGGTGAGATCCTGAAGGATACGCCGCGTGGGGCGGCGTCCTGCGAGAACAGCGCCTTCATCTCAGACCCGAAGAGATGCGTGGCGAAGCCGAAGCTGCACGTGAGCTTGTGGAACACGCACACCAGGTCGTCCGTGATGATGTCTCGGTTCGTGTCTGGTCGTAATAATCGTTATTAATTAATGTAACAATAATGGATTAATAGTGCTTAATGGAAGCTTAAATAAATATCAGGGCTAATATGTTTTGTGGATAGTAATTGATAAGATATTCATTATGAATATGGAGAGCTGGGAGATATTTAGTACGGCAAATAATATATGTACTATGCTATTCATGTAGTCAATTTACTAATAGTTATAATATATATGTTGGGACTGAAGATAAATTAACAAAAAGTGCAAGAGAGTAAAGATTGAGGTGTTAGAGTCCAGAAACTAGTGATTAGTGAGGAGAAAACTGCGTAGAAAACGAGTCATTGTTCATACTCGCAAAATGTTGAATAAATTATATTTTTTTTTAAATTACATACAAAAGTTTTCGCGCAAAAAAATCCATATAATGAAGCAATAAATGGCACACATTATCTCGGAGCAAACCTCGAAAAAATATACTCGCTAAAGCCGTGATGAACGATAATCTAAAGTAACAAACATTGGAATTTGTCAATCATTCTAATTTGACAAGCATTGGAATTTGACAAGAATTCGAGTAAAATTTGAGTAACAAGCATTTCCAAAATCATCTCAGGTTTTTAATTTCAGGTAGAAGTAGCCATCTTTAATAAAATTTCTACTAAAAATTATCTACCTAAGAAATCAGAAGCCTCGTAGACGACGCGACCAGCATAGTGATGGATGCCGAAGGCTCTGGTAAGGTCGCTCTTAGGCTCAAAGAGACGCGAGCAGCCCTTGTGCTGCAGCTTCACCTTCTGCACGTAGCTTTCTGGGGAGCCTCTTACAGAACACTCCACGTCCAGCATGCTTAAGAGGCCGGTCCGCTGCACATAACATATGATGATGTTAACTGTGATGTGGTATGTCCGCTGCACATAACATACCATGATGTTAACTGTGATGTGTGATGTGGTATGTCCGCTGCACAAACCTCCACGATGGAACTTATGCCCTCTTCTCTGCAGGACTCGACGGAGCTCTTGAAGATGTGCGTGTTGTAGAAGTGCTGCATGGTCTCAGCACACAAGTTGATGCACAGGTGCTCCAAGTGTGAAGGCTGGTGGTGAAGCGGTTTTCAGTTACTGCTCCTTGATGTAGACCATTTTCAAAAGAATTCAACTTTTAGTCTAGGGAAAATTTACTCGTTTCATTTTCATTTGGTACCTACCGGCCTGGTAACGAGATACTCCGAAAGTAGACAAAAGGTTTACCACTTGGGACATAGAATTGATTACACTCAGTGAGGGCCAAGTTTTTATTATGAATTGTTTTCCAAAGTTGGTAAGGCAAATGACATAAGAAGTGTTGATTAACAAAAACTAAAAAATTATTAATATGTGAAGTATTAATTGATTAGAATTATTGATCAGAACACGTCGAATATGCCAATGAAGCCGTCGGTAGCACCCACTAACCTTCGGGTCCTCGAAGCCGAACATGACAAGTATGCCAATGAAGCCGTCAGTAGAGCCCCACTAACCTTCGGGTCCTCAAAGCCGAACATGTCAAGTATGCCGATGAAGCCGTCGGTGGCATCCCACTAACCTTCGGGTCCTCGAAGCCGAACATGTCAAGTATGCCGATGAAGCCGTCGGTGGCATCCNCAAACTCAACAAATATAACAAGAGTGAACACTTCCAAAGTGCTAGCGATCGCTATAATGTCTTAATAAGGTTGAATTTGAAGCCAACTAGACGGAAAATGTAGGGTTGTGTTCCACCAGAAATAACGCTTGTATTTAGGATGCATTTGCAAGTGTTGCATAGTGGGAAGAAACACCAATACTTTATTTAGCTAAAAGCTAATATAATTTGAAACATTGTTGTTGATGTTCCTTGTTGATTTTCGTGTTCAGAAAAGCACATTAGCTGCGATAACTAATCGTTTAATTCAGAATTTTTTATATAAAAGTCGTCAACCTTTACCGAATGTGGACTGATAACATCAGCAGAAGATAATCTAGTTCAGAAATTAAATCAACATCAAGCACAACTAATTGCATTTCATCCGTTCACCCAATCTGTATTATTAGTATGAGTTAAAGCAACATTTGAAGCTTTTACAACATTCCTTTTTAATTTTTTACAGTAGTTTTAATGCTATTAAATCACACGAATTAGTATCGTTTGGTGGAGTCACATTCCCCACCTGGATGTTCTGAATATTAACAGGATTTATTACTTAAGTTCGTTAATTTACCGATAAAGAAGAACTGGGTTCATTGCATAAGTTCTTTACCTGAACGATACAGAAAAACAAGGTTCATTGCAAATATTAGTTTGTTAACTGAGCGATACGGATTAAACAGGGTTCTACGAGTTAATTCTCTAATTAAGCGAAACGGAATAACATGGTTTATTTCACAAGTTCTTTTACTAAACGATACAATCTCAGATATATAATAATTTGGATCATCGAAACAAAAATAAGGCGGTATTCTATGAAAAAAATAAGACAATATCTTTTGAGATTATTCTCGTCCGACAAGATTCTCATTGAAATATGTTGTTACATAATAAATAAAAACAATTTTGGTTATTATTTACAGGCTTACCTTAAAAATATATGTCGTTTGCCCAACGCCCAATTGATGGTATTCATTGACGCCTTGTTGACGTCATCGATGTTACGCAAAAAGAACTCAAGGATTGTTTTGCAATCCTCGATGGTTTTCTCGTCAGTTCGCCTGAGCTTCTTGGACGGCGCCAGCAGCCGGTATCTGAACACGAAACTTCGGAAGCGCATTCTGTGCGGGTAACCGCCAGCCATCAGGTTAACCGTCTCCAGAACCTGCGCATTAATGATTATTTTGTTAGAAATTTACCCAATGAATAGGCGAGTAACCTCTAGCCATCAGGTTAACCGTCTCCAGAACCTGCGCATTCATGGTTATTTAGTTAGAAATTTACCCAATGAATAGGAGGGTAACATCCAACCATCAGGTTAACCGTCTCCAGAACCTGGGCATTCATGATTATTTTGTTAGAAACGTACTCAATGAATAGGAGGGTAACTTCAAGCTACTACATAGTGGTTATGTTACTGAATATTACATTAGTAAAAAATGGAACTTTATGTAACTTTATGTCATGACAGGCAACCTTGCGTCTGCTATACTAATAGAATAGAATAGAAGTGTCGGCACTGAATAAATAGGCCCATGGCCTGTTGCCGATTCCTGTACTTTTCGTGACTTGATTCCACAATGGGTCCAGCCTTTTGAACCCGATCCTTCCATAACTAACGATAGATTATATACTACTACTATACCATATTATATAAATATGTATCCTATACGCCATATGGCACTGGGACATTAGCATCTCGTACGTCTTATAACGTAATTTTTACCGAACATTTCGACGAACAAATGATTACATTACAACGCCCGTACGGCAAAGATTTTGATTGTACGTTTCACTCTTCACATCCGCCGAAATTGTTCATTTGCACATAATTTCATTATGCACTAATATTTCACAACAGCATTACGCGTTCTTACGTTACTGCATCAGTGTAGAAGCAATGCACGTTATAACAGAAATACACCATCGCGCTATAAAATAACATTAACACATTACATTAACTGCAACAACATTACATTAGCCTCAACAACAACAGCTACAACAACAAAACGTAACAGCTGCAAGTTACATGTTACAAGATAAAATGTGACGCGTTATGCCTGTAGCGCGCGTATCTGCTTGATGACGGTGGGACGGTCAAAGAGACCGGGCGTCTCTGTAGGGTTACCTGTAGCGCGCGTATCTGCTTGATGACGGTGGGACGGCTGTCTCTTATACACATCTAGATGTGTATAAGAGACAGGTATGCCGATGAAGCCGTCGGTGGCATCCCACTAACCTTCGGGTCCTCGAAGCCGAACATGTCAAGTATGCCGATGAAGCCGTCGGTGGCATCCCACTAACTTTCGAGTCCTCGAAGCCGAACATGTCAAGTATGCCAATGAAGCCGTCGGTGGCATCCCACTAACCTTCATGTCCTCGAAGCCGAACATGTCAAGTATGCCGATGAAGCCGTCGGTGGCATCCCACTAACTTTCGGGTCCTCAAAGCCGAACATGTTAAGTATGCCGATGAAGCCGTCGGTGGCATCCCACTAACCTTCGGGTCCTCGAAGCCGAACATGTCAAGTATGCCGATGAAGCCGTCGGTGGCATCCAACTAACCTTCGGGTCCTCGAAGCCGAACATGTCAAGTATGCCGATGAAGCCGTCGGTGGCATCCCACTAACTTTCGGGTCCTCAAAGCCGAACATGTTAAGTATGCCGATGAAGCCGTCGGTGGCATCCCACTAACCTTCGGGTCCTCGAAGCCGAACATGTCAAGTTCTGTCTCTTATACACATCTAGATGTGTATAAGAGACAGCACCAGGTCGTCCGTGATGATGTCTCGGTTCGTGTCTGGTCGTAATAATCGTGATTAATGGAAGCTTAAATAACTATCAGGGTTAATGATGATGTCTCGGTTCGTGTCTGTTCGTAATAATCGTGATTAATGGAAGCTTAAATAACTATCAGGGTTAGTGATGATGTCTCGGTTCGTGTCTGTTCGTAATAATGGTGATTAATGGAAGCTTAAATAATGGATTAATAGTGCTTAATGGAAGCTTAAATAACTATCAGGGTTAATGGTGATGTCTCGGTTCGTGTCTGTTCGTAATAATCGTGATTAATGGAAGCTTAAATAACTATCAGGGTTAATGGTGATGTCTCGGTTCGTGTCTGGTCGTAATAATCGTGATTAATGGAAGCTAAAATAACTATCAGGCTTAATGATGATGTCTCGGTTCGTGTCTGGTCGTAATAATAGTGATTAATGGAAGCTTAAATAACTATCAGGGTTAATGATGATGTCTCGGTTCGTGTCTGTGGTCGTAATAACCGTGATTAATGGAAGCTAAAATAACACGCACACCAGATCGTCCGTGATGATGTCTCGGTTCGTGTCTGGTCAAAATAATCGTTATTAATGGAAGCTTAAATAACACGCACACGAGGTCGTCTCGGTTCGTCTCTGTTCGTAATAATCGTGATTAATGGAAGCTTAAATAATGGATTAATAGTGCTTATTGGAAGCTTAAATAACTATCAGGGTTAATGATGATGTCTCGGTTCGTGTCTGTGGTCGTAATAACCGTGATTAATGGAAGCTAAAATAACACACACACCAGATCGTCCGTGATGATGTCTCGGTTCGTGTCTGGTCGTAATAATCGTTATTAATTAATGTAACAATAATGGATTAATAGTGCTTAATGGAAGCTTAAATAAATATCAGGGCTAATATGTTTTGTGGATAGTAATTGATAAGATATTCATTATGAATATGGAGAGCTGGGAGATATTTAGTACGGCATACAGTATATGTAGTACGGTGATGTGGAGAGCCAATTTATTATATAGAGATAATATATATATGTTGGGACTGCAGATTAATGAATAAATAGTGCAAGAGAGTGAAGGAAAGGTATTAGAGAGCAAAAATTACGGATTAATGATCTGCGTAAAAAAAAACAAGTCATTGTTCATACATTCAAGATGTAGAATAAATTATATTTTTCAAATTACCTGCAAAAGTTTTCGCGCATAAAAATCCATAAAATGAAACAATAAATGGCACACATTATCTCGGAGCAAACCTCGAAAAAATATACTCGCTAAAGCCGTGATGAACGATAATCTAAAGTAACAAACATTGGAATTTGTCAATCATTCTAATTTGACAAGCATTGGAATTTGACAAGAATTCGAGTAAAATTTGAGTAACAAGCATTTCCAAAATCATCTCAGGTTTTTAATTTCAGGTAGAAGTAGCCATCTTTAATAAAATTTCTACTNTAATGTGTGAATAGGTAATGTGTGGTAAGTGTGTGGGTAATGTGTGAATAGGTAATGTGCTGTCTCTTATACACATCTAGATGTGTATAAGAGACAGTCCTCAATCTCTATCAGGTCAAGTGAATTGGCCGCTGACAGTATTGTTAACTGTGATGTGGGATGTGGTATTGTTAACTGTGATGTGGGATGTGGTATTGTTAACTGTGATGTGCGATGTGGTATGTCCGCTGCACACAACATTAGATGATGTTAACTGTGATGTGGGATGGGGTGTTGTTAACTGTGATGTGTGATGTGCTATTGTTAACTGTGATGTGGTATTGTTAACTGTGATGTGGTATTGTTAACTGTGATGTGTGATGTGGTAAGTCCGCTGCACAGAACATACCATGATGTTAACTGTGTTGTGTGAGGTGCTATGGGTTAACTGTGATGTGTGAGGTGCTATGGGTTAACTGTGTTGTGTGAGGTGCTATGGGTTAACTGTGATGCGTGATTTAGTATAGGTTAACTGTGTTGTGTGACTCTAATTTTGATGGATTGTGCAGTTACTACGGACATAAAAAGCAATATTTTATCCCTGGTAAGTGAGAAGAGATAAGCTCACCAGGGATGAGATGAGGTCAATACAAGGAACGTTGTCGACGTAGTCCACCTCCACGATGGAACTTATGCCCTCTTCTCTGCAGGACTCGACGGAGCTCTTGAAGATGTGCGTGTTGTAGAAGTGCTGCATGGTCTCAGCACACAAGTTGATGCACAGGTGCTCCAAGTGTGAAGGCTGGTGGTGAAGCGGTTTTCAGTTACTGCTCCTTGATGTAGACCATTTTCAAAAGAATTCAACTTTTAGTCTAGGGAAAATTTACTCGTTTCATTTTCATTTGGTACCTACCGGCCTGGTAACGAGATACTCCGAAAGTAGACAAAAGGTTTACCACTTGGGACATAGAATTGATTACACTCAGTGAGGGCCAAGTTTTTATTATGAATTGTTTTCCAAAGTTGGTAAGGCAAATGACATAAGAAGTGTTGATTAACAAAAACTAAAAAATTATTAATATGTGAAGTATTAATTGATTAGAATTATTGATCAGAACACGTCGAATATGCCGATGAAGCCGTCGGTGGCATCCCACTAACCTTCGGGTCCTCGAAGCCGAACATGTCAAGTATGCCGATGAAGCCGTCGGTGGCGTGCTTCACGGCGCTGTTCAGGACACTCATGCTCTTGGACGCCTTGGACCCGCCGGTGCCGACAGTGGACGCGTGGTGAGAGGCCGCATCGCCATTCTGGTGCACGCTTTCGTTACTGAAATAAACATTTATTACTAATTTTGAACTCATTTTAGCATTATTTTAAGATGCTAAAGTTTACAAAATAATTAACTTAACAATAAATGCTATTACATTAAATACTAATTAAAACTTACCAGTTTAATGCCTACTTTCATTCATTCTATCATTAATTTATAAAAGAAACCCTCTATTACTTATCTAGTATTCATTTCACCATTGGTTCAACAAAATAAATGTTTATTACACACTTAGTCAAGCCTACCGGTAACATAACAATTTATTTATCCAGGTATTTACTAAATAACCTAACATAACAATTTATTTATCGCAAAAGTGTACACTTTCATTACACAAGTACAGGATATGTTAACTAACAAAGCACCTGTCGGAGGATAGGGTGCCTGAGGTAGAGCCGAGTCTCTTGAGAGAGTTGGCCCGGCGCACGATGGTGGCTACGGTGCGGCAGTACAGCGCCTTCGCCAGCGCGTCCCGAGTCAGGTTACTCTGACAAATTCATTATATTTTAGGCTTATCAATACCAATAAGGCTTATCACCTTACATTAATGCAATAGCGCGTCCCGAGTCAGGTTACTCTGACAAATTCATAATATTTTAGGCTTATCAATACCAATAAGGCTTATCACCTTACAGTAATACAATAGCGCGTCCCGAGTTAGGTTACTCTGACAAATTCATAATATTTTAGGCTTATCAATGCCAATAAGGCTTATCACCTTACATTAATGCAATAGCGCGTCCCGAGTCAGGTTACTCTGACAAATTCATAATATTTTAGGCTTATCAATACCAATAAGGCTTATCACCTTACATTAATGCAATAGCGCGTCCCGTGTTAGGTTACTCTGACAAATTCATTATATTTTAGGCTTATCAATACCAATAAGGCTTATCACCTTACATTAATGCAATAGCGCGTCCCGAGTCAGGTTACTCTGACAAATTCATAATATTTAAGGCTTATCAATACCAATAAGGCTTATCACCTTACAATAATGCAATAGCGCGTCCCGAGTCAGGTTACTCTGACAAATTCATTACAGTTTTTATTACCAGATATATTTATTTTATTACAGTTACCAGATTTATTACAGTTACCATATATTTATTTTATTAAAGTTACCAGATTATTACAGCGTCCAGAGTCAGGTTACTCTGACAAATTCATTACAGTTTTTATTACCAGATATATTTATTTTATGAGAGTTACCAGATTTATTACAGTTACCATACATTTATTTTATTACAGTTACCAGATTATTACTGCGTCCTGAGTTAGGTTACTCTGACAAATTCATAATATTTTCATGACTTATCACCTAATATTAATTCAAACGTTCATGGCTGTGTGTGTTGTTACCTTATATTAATTCAAACGTTCATGGCTGTGTGTGTTGTTACCTTACATTAATTCAAACGTTCGTGGCTGTGTGTGTTGTTACCTTACATTAATTAAAACGTTCATGGCTGTGTGAGTTGTTACCTTACATTAATTAAAACGTTCATGGCTGTGTGAGTTGTTACCTTACATTAATTAAAACGTTCATGGCTGTGTGTGTTGTTACCTTACATTAATTAAAACGTTCGTGGCTGTGTGTGTTGTTACCTTTCATTAATTCAAACGTTCATGGCTGTGTGAGTTGTTACCTTACATTAATTCAAACGTTCATGGCTGTGTGAGTTGTTACCTTACATTAATTCAAACGAAAAATGTGTTTGCTATTCGGTGATTATTTTCTAAAATGGGCTACCTATTCGATTCATAACAATTGGAATTGTTCTAGAAGGATGATGTAAAGTTTATTTTGATATTTATGGAACAAAATTTATTTTCAATAAGGAACACGAATGACTAAATATGATACGAGAGATAACGAGATAATATAATCTGAATGAGATAGAGACGTTTAGCCTGTTAAATTGTGCGTTAAATGAAATAAATTGTAAAATAACTACCATATATGCCACAATAATGAAAATTGACTTGTTGCAAGAACAACTGGCAAAAAAATCAGTTCCATGGCACATCAAAAAACGTTTGCCTGCACTTCACAGAAAAAAAGATGAATTTCTCAGTTCCGATGATGAATTTCTCAATAATTATTTCTCAATAATAATTTCTCATAGAAGATGAATTTCTCCATAAAAGATGAATTTCTCAATAAATCAGTTATGAAAGTAGTTTATGATGTAGAAGTATGCCCAAAGACAGCGATGTACACGTACTAGACGAATTTTTCTCCCGAGAAGACCTCGCATTTACTCAAATTCATAACTCGCGCTATCATTTCTTGTGCACGTCATGATCATTTTTGATGATCATCATAATGCTTTTTGATCAGCATTATGATAATCATAATGATCATATAATTATATGATCATAATGACGATCATTAAAATGATTATTATAATAATCATTATGATAATCATAATGATCATATTATAATGATCATCATTACGATAATCATAATGATAATCATTAATATGATTATTATGATAATCATTATGATCATATTATAATGATCATCATTATAGTCATCATAATGCTATACTATACGCATGTCACTCACCATGTTGGCGTCACATCATTATGATCATCATAATGATCATATTACAATGATCATCATTATGATCATATTATAATGATCATCATTATGATCATCATAATACTATAACGCATGTCACTCACCATGTTGGCATCACACATGGACTTGACGAGGTGACCACGCGCGTTATGCGTGCGCGTGACCAGGCCGCGGTAGAGCGCGCCTGACGACACGCCTAGGAGACTGGCCACGCTCTGTTGCGTAACATAAATAAATCAATTAACAATAAAAACTAATATCAATAAGCAATAAAAACTAATATCGATAAACAATAAAAACTAATATCGATAAATAATAAAAACTGATATCAATTAACAATAAAAACTAATTAAAAAAACTAACATCACTGTATTTTATTAATATATATACCTATATATAGTTATATATTATTATTTTCATTATTATTTTTTCAATACATTCATTATGGGTCTGAGTAATAAATATAAAATAAATTGCACATGCTTCAACTGTAGCAAAAATCAAGAATATTATATAAATTATACAGTCAACCCGCACCCCCCTGCCTCACCTTAATTGAGCTCGTGGCTGCCTCCCTGCATGTCCACCTCGACGCCTGCCTCACCTTGAGCTCGTGGCTGCCTCCCTGCATGTCCACCTCGACGCCCTGCCTCACCTTGAGCTCGTGGCTGCCTCCCTGCATGTCCACCTCGACGCCCTGCCTCACCTTGAGCTCGTGGCTGCCTCCCTGCATGTCCACCTCGACGCCCTGCCTCACCTCTGTCTCTTATACACATCTAGATGTGTATAAGAGACAGGTTCCACCCCATCTGTTGTCTACCTTTTGCGGTTATTGCCGGTATGTGATCACCAAAATTGACCTGATTGTTCATCAACACTCCTAGATCGCGAACGAGTCGCTTCTCTTCGATTTCCGAGTTGTCAGGTGCCAGGTAGCGGTGCTATATTCCAGCTCTTCCGGTTCCTCTGTATCTCAGAACCTCAAACTTGGTCCCGTTGAACTGCATGTTGTTCACTAGTGCCCAGTCTTATATTGCAGCGAGGTGGCATGATGTGTGCCATGATGCGTGGCATGGTGTGGCGTTATGTGTGGCATGATGTGGTATGATGTGTGGCATGATGCGTGGCATGATGTGTGGCATTCTTTTGGCATGATGTGTGGCATTCTGTTTGGCATGATGTGGCATGGTGTGGAATGATGTGGCATGATGTGCGGCATGATGTGTGGCATGATGTGTGGCGTGATGTGGCGTGATGTGTGGCATGATGTGGCGTGATGTGACATGTAGTGGCGTTATGTGGCAAAATGTGGCATGATGTGGCATAATATGGCGTGATGTGGCGTGATATAGCATGATGTGGCGTGATGTGACATGTAGTGGCGTTATGTGGCAAAATGTGGCATGATGTGGCATAATATGGCGTGATGTGGCGTGATATAGCATGATGTGGCATGATGTGGTATGATGTGGCATGATATGGCATGATTTGGCATGATGCGGTATGATGTGGCATGATGTGGCATGATGTGGCATGACGTGGCATGATGTGGCTTGATGTGGCATGATGTAACACGATACGCAGTCTTCGAGGGCTGGTATGAACCTTTTCATTTCTTTTCAAAAAAGGAAATACCGCCGCGTTTAGCACGCCACTTACTAAAGAGAAATACTAAAACATGATCATCCGTACATACAAAATGTAATAATAATATAATAATAGTCAATATAATAGTCTATGCGTTTAGAAGATGGATCGCTGGTGCTACCGTCAGACCTAAAATCTAATTTTGTATAACCGTCCGTCTAAGTAATTAATATCTATTAATAGGTATAGATAATTTATAAAAATATTATTTAGTAATTAATATCTATTAATACGAGTAATATATTAATAGATAATTAATATCTATTAATATCTAAGTCATTAAATTTTTTCATAAGTGAGAAAATGCGCTAAAAAATAAAATTCAATTAAATTTTATTAATTTAGAAAAGGAAATGTAACAAAATAAAATAATGTGATGCCGGCGTCTGACCTGGCTGCGTCCTGCGCTTCATTGACGCGAGTGTCGCCGCCGCTGAGGTACCGCAGAGACCGCACCGTGTGGCCCTCCAGCTGCAGCCGCTCTGTGGTGCAACAGATGGTGTGTGGTGAGGGTGTGGGTAATGTGTGGTGGGTGTGTGGTTATTGTATGAATAGGCTCTGTGGTGCAACGTCAACAGGTGGTGTGTGGTGAGTGTGTGGGTAATGCGTGGTGAGTGTGTGGTGGGTGTGTGGTTAATGTGTGAATAGGCTCTGTGGTGAAGCGCCTATAAGTGGTGTGTGGTGGATGTGTAGTTAATGTGTGGTTGGTGTGTAGTTAAAGTATGAATAGGTAATGTGTGCTGAATGTGTAGTTAATGTATGAATAGGTAATGTGTGGTGAGTGTGAAGTTAATGTATGAATATGCTCCGTGGTGCCGGAAACGTCTTAAGGTATTTGTGGCGAACTATCCTCGGAAATTCAGATTACTAGTCGCGTCACCACGAAAGTTCGGAATTTCCTCTCAGTACGCCTACCAATGACCGTAAATTAGCCGCTCCTCTTTTGCTACAGTAAGCAATTCTTGGGCTGGGCGGGATTTTGAAGCGCCAACGACAGGTTGAAGCTAATTTATTAAAGGTAAACTTCTAATTACTAAAGTGATGAAACGGAACGGATAACTGACGAGAAATAAGAAACAAAAAATTAAAAAACTGATTACTCGGAAACAAATACTAGCAAGAAGGAGCTGGTACAAATTTAACGCATAAAGAGAGCTGAAATATGTAATATAGTAGGCTGAAAATTTTTTACTACTTGCCATTCGACCGCTAAGATTAAGCATGACCAGCTCTAACATGAGCGTGGCATTGCTGGCTCCTAAAGGATTTTCATTCAAGGCCAGGGTCAGAGTGACTTGTCACGCGCGGTACTGTTGAAGTTCTAACGCATTGTGAAATAGCGTGATATTGGTGAACATATAATTGATTCGTCATGCTTAGGTGTTTATTCTTTGTCTTCTATTTTTTAGGATTACGCATTTTATCTCGAAACTCGAGTCTGCATCTCTCTTTACGCGTTAAATTTGTCCCGGCTCTCTTACTATTACTTGTTTCCGAGTAATCGGTTTGTTATTTTTTTTTTTTTGTTTCTTATTTCGCGTCCATTACCAGTTCCGATTCTTCACTTTAGTAATTAGAAGTTTACCTTTACTACATAACTTTAACCTGTCTTGGCGTTTCAATATCCGGTCCAGCCCAAGAATTTCTTACTGAAGCAATATGGAAGTGTTTTATTTTCCCGTCATTGTTAAGCGTGCCGAGAGAAAATTCAAAACTTTCGAAGTGACGCGTCTAGTAATCTGAATATCCGAGTATAGTTCGTCACATTCGATCTACATGGTCATGAAATAAAACATATCAACATACATGACGAAAGAAAAGTAAATAAGGATTTAAAAAATTTAAAGAAATGATTGCACTGGTATGAACGAGTTATAAGTGAAACAAACAAATTTCTGAAATATTTGAAATTATCTTAATTATGACCAAACTATTCTCTCTTCCTGTGTCAGTCGCGCCAGCATCTGGTAGAAGATGTGGTAGTTCAGTCTACCTGTCTACCCACCTCTCTCTTCCTGTGTCAGCCCCGCCAACATCTGGTAGAAGATGTGGTAGTTTTTCTCGTGTGGTAGCGGACGCACCACTCGCGTTTGGTCCAGGAAGTAGCAGTGGATTTTGGTTCGGTAGAGAGCGCCATCAGTGACCTGAACCTCGATGAAATGGCCCTGAAAACAGCGATATCTTATATAATACTTTATTACTTTTATTTTAATATATTAAATACAAGTACAGTTATTTGAATAGTTTATTTAATATATTAAATACAAGTACAGTTTATTTGTACTAGTAGCGACAATGTACAAATGTTTTCTGTAGTTACTAACGTAAGTCATTTTTTACGAACGTTGGTAAATTTACCAGCTGATCAATTCAGCGCAGTTTCCCATTAACCCGAATTCGATATTATTCCCCATGTCATTTCATTAATCATCATTAACAGTCACCAAATATTATTTATAATTAATGATAATATAAATATACATTAATATATTATATTGAATTATATTATTATACTATAATTTAATATATATAACAAATATAATATAATATATTATATTTAAATAAGTAAAATTATATCTTTCGAAACCTGAAAATAAACGATTAAAAGTACGATTTTAACATTACATTACAGTAGGTTAAAGTTTATTGATCTTTTAAACCAAGTTACTCGCTATTACGATCTTAGTCAGCTCATTAAATTCTGGCCGTACAATTGCGGCCAAAATAATGTCGAGTGATTAAACTCCGTAATGGTGACCTAGACCTATACTTTCAAAAAAGTTAGGAGATCGTAAGTTCATCAGCCAATCATTGACGGCCTTTCAAGCAAAATCCACCAATCATAGCCAAGAAAATAGAGCGTAAGTACTTACGTTCACTTAGCCAGTTTTGAAAGTATGGGCCCTAATGATTAATTTGTTACCAAGTGAATACGTAATGGAACATTTCCTACTGAAAAATCAAATAATACTGAGAAATAATTCCTTTTGCTCTCAATGCATGGACAAAGTAGCCACAAGTGAAGAATTAAAAAAAATTGAAAATGAAATTTCGCTGAGGAATAATGATTATTTCCCGGTACAGAATGAGAAAAAAAAACTTTTTATTATATATACAAATTTCTAATCAAGTTGAATTACAAAACAGAACTTCCAACAAACCTGCAAGTTACGAAAACCTAAATGGACATAAATCAAGAGTCTCTCAATTTTAGGTAATGTCAATGATTCGTTAATCAATGATAAAAAATCAGTTAGTATAATTCGTTAAAAAATCAGTTCAAGAAAGACTGAAATGAAGTAAAGACTGGAAGACAGATTACCGTTCTCTACACTAATTAGCTAGACTCATAAAGCTCAAACAACTCACATTTGATGACTCATAAAGCTCAAACTACTCACATTTGATGACTCATAAAGCTCAAACAACTCACATTTGACTCATAAAGCTCAAACAACTCACAATTAACTCATAACACTCAAACAACTCATATATGACTCATAGAGCTCAAACAACTCACAATTCTGATGGACTCACACTTGACTCATAAAGCTCAAACTACTGTGAGTACTTATAAAGCTCCAACAACTCACATTTTACTCATAAAGCTCAAATAACACACAATTCTGCTAGACTCACATTTGACCCGTAATACTCAAATAACTCACAATTCTGCTGGACTCACACTTAACTCATACTACTCACACAACTCACATTTGACTCATAAAGCTCAAACTACTGTGAGTACTTATAAAGCTCCAACAACTCACATCTGACTCATAAAGCTCAAACAACTCACATTTACTCACAAAGCTCACACAACTCACAATTCTGCTGGACTCGGAGTTGATGTCAGTCTTGGCGAGGCCGAGGGTAGCCGGTCTCACTCTGCTGCCTGACGTACCTGAGAGTATGACAGCTTGAGGGTAGCCGGTCTCGCTCTGCTGCCGGACGTACCTGAGAGTATGACAGCTTGCGGGTAGCCGGTCTCGCTCTGCTGCCTGACGTACCTGAGAGTATGACAGCTTGAGAGTAGCCGGTCTCGCTCTGCTGCCTGACGTACCTGAGAGTATGACAGCTTGCGGGTAGCCGGTCTCGCTCTGCTGCCTGACGTACCTGAGAGTATGACAGCTTGAGGGTAGCCGGTCTCGCTCTGCTGCCGGACAGCCTCGTGTACAACCCTCAGGAGGTGGGGCTTCTGAGGGGCGCCCCTCGTCGACGCCAGGGTGAGGGAATTGCCCACCGCCGTGTACGGGTTAATGGACACCAGCGTGGGCCCCACATTTGTCTGAAAAGTTATATAAATCAGTACATTCAAAATTAAAACATAAAATATTTTATACTTCATATTGTCTGGAAAGTTAAATAAATCAGTGCATTCAAAATGAAAACAAAATATTTTATACCACAGATTGCTGTTCTTCAAATGAAAATTGTTGACCAAGTTTTTAATGATGAACTTTAAACCACAAACTTGCCTTTAAAGCTGGAGCACAAATTAATCACCCAACAATACAGACGAAAAATTTCTCGAAACAAGAATTAACCGCAATACATCAAACCTATTCGAAGAAAATAAGACAGATACCTTTTGATGAACGTTGTATACCGAAGTAGAACTTCTTGTTACAGAGTTCATCTAATTATAGTTTTGGTTGACAAGGATCCTAGGAAAATTTAGAGGTCAAATCTCTATCTGAACTCATCAACTTATTTTCACTTATCCAAAAAACAATTTCATGTATAAAGGTGGTCATGAAACCATTTCTAATGGTAATTATTATATTTTACCGTCATGACACACCCTGGAATGTAATATGAGATTTTATGGATTGCTGAGGAATGGGAGAAAAAGGGAATGGAGAGGTAGAGTGGGAACCTGGTGGAGTGAGGGAGTAAGGAGTGGAGCAGGTAGCGAGGAAAGGGGAGTGAAGAGTGGAGCAGGTAGCGGGAGGAATGAAAGGGGAGTGAGGGGTGGAGTGGAGGGGTTAAAAGAAGGAGCGGTTGACCCCTGAACCTTGGGTAACCTGAGCCGCTAATGCTTGAGATAAGCGAGGGCCTTAAGTGCAGGAGACACAGAGGAACAAGAACTATAGGAGGGAGCTGGGACAGTTTGTTGCACGTCAAAATAAGTGAAGAAAAACACTAATTGCATAAATAATTCAAAAAGGTATCAATTTTGAATAAAATTGGGTCTCTAACAACCGGGAACGCCAGAAAGAACTGTGACAGAGCAGGGACAGTTTGTTGCACATCTAAATAATTGAAGAAAAACACATATTGCATAAAGACTTCGAAGTAGATATCATTGCGGGAAAAAAATTGTGTCTATAAAAACTGGGAACGTCAGAAATTCAATAAGAAACATGACTACTAACAATAATAAGCATCACAAACATCCTGGATTGGATATATACTATTTATTTCTGTGATGAAACATAATCTTTATAGATTCCATACAAATTTGACTAAAATGAACCATCTCAGAAAATACATTGACAAATTAAAACTAAGGCGGAACCAGGCTGGGAGATTTCCAAACAATTGTTTCCGTGATCAGACTCCGAAAATTTACAAAAAAATTAAGGACTTTAATTTATTAAGGAAAATTAGGGATGGCAGCAGATTACCAAATAATTAATTTTCATTTAAGTACTTAGGAGTAAACAATATCGATGTCGACAAAATTTAAAATATTTATTCAATTTCTGTTAAAATGGTATTCAATTTGTGAGCAGTAATTTATACGAGTAATATTTACAGAATATTTCAGGGAAGAAGTGGCAATTTACTTCATTAAGTGTACATGAACACTGTTAGAAAAATTACCGTTAACGGTATTACCGGCGTTTCAGTGGCCGGTCGGCACGTGAAAAGAACACCGTGTCGCCGTTTTTACTCTAATTTAACACTAGAAATCCGTAAAACATATTATAAAAACGGCGAAACAGTTTATTTTCAAGGGGCGACCGGCCACTAGAATGCCAGTGGGACCGTTTTTTCACCGTTTTTTCTAACAGTGAAGTAAGGGATGTGGCAAAGACTTCACACGCTTTGGAAGTTAACTATTTGATCGCGGCGGCAAGGCAGAGTGTTTGAGGAACAGTCAAGTGTTCGAGGCATACAGTAGTGAACTGGATTTTTGAACGCTTGAGGTGACACCCAGCGATTAACAGATTAATAAATTAATCACCTTATTTGTATAAAAATAACAGGTTATGGCTCACATATTAGCCATTCAAGAGGAACTAATTACCGCTAGTATATAATACCCCTTCGGTTATAATACAACAAACCGTACAAGGCACGAAGCTATTTCAAATTTAAAGAAAAATTAGGTAATTATAATTGTTAATTAAATAACAATTTTGTGTGTCTGTGGGAATCATTAGCGTTTCTTGGGGGTTGCTAATGACAATATTTGCTAGATTTTGGTAAACGTAATTTTTCACAGCATAAAAAATTCAGTATCATTTATTTTAGCAAGCAAAACGCAAGGCTGAGCTGTGAAGTATGAGGAAATAAAGTTGTGTCGCTGAAGTGACCAAAACTTAAACATTTCAAATTGAAGATAGAAATTAATTCGACCAGTTGCGCGATCAAAGATCAGTAGAACAGAAAGTAACTTTTTAGGACCAACCGTGAGAAGAAAACTTAAGGAGATAACTTAAGGAGCAAACTTAAGGAGCAAACATAAGGAGCAAACTTCAGAAGTATTTTTAAAGAGCAACTTTAAGAGGCAAACTTAAGGAGCTAATTTAAGGAGCAAACTTCAGAAGTATTTTTAAAATTATCTAGGGTACTAACGGCACCATTTATGGTCATGACAAAAATAATGGAAGATTTAAATCCTCTACAACCTTTATCTAGGGAACTAAAGACGCCACTTATGGGCACCTTTGAAAAATTATGGAAAATTTTAAGGCCATTACAACCTTCATCTTATGAACTATAAATTAAACGGCACCATTTATGGGCACAACAACAGCTATAGGCTTTACCACCACTAAGATTTATTATAAAGATTACATTAAGATTTACTTTAAGAAGATTACATTAAGATTACTAAGATTTACATTAAGATTTAGTATATGCGTAATTGCTGCAATAACTGGTAGCCGTTCTTTGCATTTTTGTGATAGAGAATCAGAATAAGCAGAAGTCTGAAGGACGATTAGAAAGTATCATTTAAACGTCAATACAAGAAAATACGAGAGGTCCATGGAAATTATGCAATTAAGAACAGTTTAATTCTGGGATAACTTTCAGTGTTCAGTGTTCTGTATAGTGAATTCATCACTTCACCTTGAATTAATAGAATCTTGAATTAATAAAACCCAAGTTTGGTTCAGTAGAAATAACGAAATTTAATTGTAATATCACTTCTCGTTGTTCGTTTTCGATGGATTTTTTCAGATGGGTTTCGTGGTCATGTAATACACTCATTAAATTACTGGATGATACTTTTCAAATAATGATACATTATCACTACGTAGCACTGGTACGCCTTTTAATAGTCCGAAATGTGTCGGTATATGACCCACTATAGGCCAAAAGATGAATCGCTTTTTGTACAAAGTCCTATCATTTCTCTAAGTTTGAAGCTAGGAATAGAAATTAATTTCATTCTTAAAATATGAGTATTACTTTTTAAAATAGATCGGATGAACAATTGAATGACCTATTAAATTTAACACATTTCATCCGGCACATATATGAATGAAAAATTTTATCAAAATTTGACACTAAAATATGAGATCTCAAACTATGATGAAAAACAAGCTCTGTTATCGGCCGTTTGAAACTATAAGAAAATTGTATATGAATTTTTTGTCTTCAAAAATACTTTAACTTCTCATGAGTGAATTGCTCGAGGAAAGCAAAGTAACGGTGCCTCCTACACAGCCTCGGTAACAATAGCTCGTTTCCTCGCCCTGACAAGCATTTTACACGGGGTCGTAACACGCAGTCTTAGTGATTTATATATTTCCGTTAGACTAGCAATGGCAGTTTGTGTTCTAAGACAATCGTCCACCACACCAAGCCTTATGAGCTGGGCCTATACTTTCAAAAAAAGTTAAGAGATCGTAAGTTCATCAGCCAATCATTGACGGCCTTTCAAGCAAAATCCACCAATCATAGACAAGAAAATAGAGCGTATGTACTTACGTTGCGAGTTTTGAAAGTGTGGCCCCTGATCATGCTTGATCTTAGCGGTCTAATGCATGCTTAGCGGTCTGCCGGCAAGTAGTAGGAAATTTTCAGCTTACTATATTACATATTTCTGCTCTCTTTAATCATTACATTTGTCCCAACTCCTTCTTGCAAGTATTTGTTTCCGAGTAGTCAGTTTGTTAATTTTTTGGTTTCTTATTTCTCGGCAGTTATCCGTTCCCATTCGTCACTTTAGTAATTAGTACTTTACATTTAATAAATTAACTCTAGCTTGTCATCGGTTTTTCAAAATCCTTTCCAGCTCAAGCCTTGCTTACTAAACCAATAAAGAAGTGTCTTATTTTCCGTTCATTTGTAGGAGTGGCGAGAGGAAATTCCGAAATTTTGAGGTGACGCGACTAGTAATCTGAATATCCGAGGATAGTTCGTCACATTTTATCTACATGGTCATGAAATAAAACATATCAACATACATGACGAAAGAAAAGTAAATAAGGATTTAAAAAATTTAAAGAAATGATTGCACTGGTATGAACGAGTTATAAGTAAAACAAATATGTTTTGGAATATTTCAAATTATCTTAATTATGACCAAACTATTCACTCCTCCAGCGTCAACCCAGCCAACATCTGGTAGAAGATGTGGTAGTTCTATCTACCTGTCTACCCACCTCTCTCTTCCTGTGTCAGCCCTGCCAACATCTGGTAGAAGATGTGGTAGTTCTATCTACNGTATCGGAAAAAATTTAGAATGATGAAAAGCCAAAAAATTTCAATATTTTTCGTCCCCAAACAACGTGGAAGCCAACAAATTATCACGGAAAAAATTGTATCGGAAAAAATTTAGAATAATAAAAAGCCAAAAAATTGAAATATTTTTCGTCCCCAAACAACGTGGAAGATAACAAATTATCACGGAAAAAAAATTTATCGGAAATTTCAATTAGCTTGGGCACTTCTTGTGCAACCAGCAAAGGTGTGAGAAATGATGTAAAAACTTAACAATAGCGTCGTGTATATTTCTTAGTTTGCATGAAACTATGACTATGTTAAAGTTAATAAAAAATTAAACTGAGCAACAGAGAACAAAATTTCTTAACACCGGAGTACTTGATGGCAAATGTACTACGTACAAGATTAGTAAAATTCTTTTTTCGAGTATTGGGAAGTCGCGGGAAAGTAAAATAAATAGAAGGAGCATGAGAAAATAAGGAAGGAATTGGGAAGAACAAGGTCAAAGAAAACGGTATTAAATCATATATAAGAGCAAGGCCAGAGAAGATAAGGTATTAAATCATAGAAAAGAGTAAGGTCTGAGGTATTAAATCTTAAAGAAGAGCAAGGTCTGAGGTCTGAGGCATTAAATCATAGAGAAGAGCAAGGTCTGAGGTCTGAGGTATTAAATCATAGAGAAGAGCAAGGTCTGAGGTCTGAGGTATTAAATCATAGAGAAGAGCAAGGTCTGAGGTCTGNTTGTGTGATGTGTGGTGGTAATACATCACGTGGGGTTGTGTAGCTGTGTGATGTGTGGTAATACATGACGTGGCCTTGTGTTGCTGTGTGATGTGTGGTAATACATGACGTGGCCTTATGTTGCTGTGTGATGTGTGTTTATACATGACGTGGCCTTGTGTTGCTGTATGATGTGTGGTAATACATGACGTGGGGTTGCGTAGCTGTATGATGTGTGGTAATACATGACGTTGCCTTGTGTAGATGTATGATGTGTGGCAAACCATGACGTGGTTTGAGAATGGAACATATCGGATCAAAATATAATTTTTCGGCGATTGTAACAACGTCTTAAAATACCATTTCATTTTGATGCGTATATGAAACAATAATAGGTTTAAAAAATTCATTTATGTTCATGAAAGAATCAAATAGTGGTTACTTAATGCGAGTAAATATATAATCTTGTTACCAAAGATCAATATATTAGAGTGAAGTGATGAGAGCGTACGAAACTATGATCATACGCAAGTGCTGAAACAATGAATTGGGCTACGCAGCGCTGTGTAATTTAGCGTAGAATGCCTGTAGCCTCGGGGCACCGCATTCATGCTGGACTAGAATGAATAAAAACTAAAACGCGTAACCTATTCTAGACCGGAGTGAGTTTATAAGCCGACAAACGGAATTAAGCTTGGCAAATATTGGCGAAAAAGCTTTTATCGGCAGGATAAAGCCTGAAACATTATCTTTGTGCAAAGCAATGAATGACGCAAAGCCTGGAGTTAATTCTTCTCCAGGTTTTTTTTCATGATATTTTTAAAGAAAAAGATGCAAACAGTTGAGAAAATGTTATATATATTTATTTTTGTCCGAAGCTTAAAATTACATGATGAATGGCAACGCAAAATTACATGAATGCTAACAAATATATTCATCGGCTAAGACATCGCTCTTCAAGAATTCTTCAGAGCCACCGGTGCACTTGAAAATCTTGTTATACTTTTGCATAGCATTCTAGTTCTCTACTATCACATCACGTTTAAGAATAATTTTCAGGAGCCTGAAAGGCAGACATAAAATATCCTACAAAATTGACTATTAAAATTTAATACAATCTTCAAGACCTAAACAGCCCAAGCTGTAGCACAACGACCCCATTCAAATAAAAAGGGAGGTAATAAAGAGTAACTAGAAAAATTCCTAAGCCTTTAAGCTTAACACGGGCCAGTAAGCAAAAAACCCGAGTTGAATCTAACCATAAAAGTCGTACGGGAGACAAAAGATTTTACCTGAAGGATAGGCGAGTATGGGCGGCGGAGTGAGAGCTCGGGTGTTGTGGTCAGAACAAGAACATGACCGCGTGATGATGCCAAGCTCTGTAACACTCGAGTCCATATCGGCGACTGCATCGAGATTTAATTTGTCTCTAGGACGGTTCCAACTGCAGCAGTTAGGGCCGTCTAAAGGGCTTGAGTAGACTAGTGGAGGGCACGCTGATAACATGCAACATCCGGGACTTTCTTCGTGAAGGTGCCCCAGGGCGCTAATTTTTACTAAAGGAGCCGAGTCAACGTCGCCCGAAGACGCGCATTTCGAAGGCCGGAAATGAAGCTTTCGGGGATAGTTTGTTGCTGAAGACTTTTGGTTCTGATACTTTGGTTCTGCGTTATCCAGTTGACATTGGTTCGTATCCTCCGATTGAGTACTAGTACTCTGGTCTAGGAACAAAGAGGATAAAGTTGAAGGTTCTTCAAGAACACAGGGAAGTGTTCCTCTGGAGTGAAGGTGACTAGATCTACTGACGCCATCAGCTGAGCGACGGCCATCGCCGCTCGTATTTGTTATCAAAGAGCTTATCCTTGGGCTTAATTTTAGGTTCCCCGAAGAAGATAGAGTTTTTTCGTCCACGTATCTTGTGGAATTCCGGGAATGAACTTGGTAGTGACTGTGAGTGGCATTCGCCTGAGCAACGTTGACAGTAACAACTTGAGATGCACCTGACAAGGATGGTAGAGGTTTAGATGCAAGCGATCCTCTTTTAGATCGTCGACCACGCGGGCTTCGATAATTCTCAAATTTAGCGGTCTTGCGAAGTTTAGAGAATTCAAAACTTGGTAGTGACTGTGAGTGGCATTCGCCTGAGCAACGTTGACAGTAACAACTTGAGATGCATCTGACAAGGATGGTAGAGGTTTAGATGCAAGCGATCCTCTTTTCGATCGTCGGCCACGCGGGCTTCGATAATTCTCAAATTTAGCGGTCTTGCGAAGTTTAGAGAATTCATTATCAATGATATTTACACAATGATCTATTTCATCTGAATCGCGAGTTGTATTTTGGCTTCTCGATTCTTCCAGGGTAAAATAACCGGAAGTGAAGCTGCCTGAATTCAGGATGATGTTGAGCTCAGAAGTTTCATTTGTCGTACAATGTTTGATGTGTGATTTTGATTGAAATATTGTACAGCCGGCTTCATCGGAACTTTCTTCATCATCGACTATTCTGTTTTGCTCACTTTCTCTCGATAAAGTTTCCTTAATGGCAATGCAGCCATTTTGATTCGTGTTAGACCCATTTTGTGTTTGTGAAAAATTACGAGACTTCAGGTCAGTTGATAATGAACAGAGTTCTTCACTTTTGCCTTCAAGTTTTTCGGATTGTATTTCCTTAGAAGACTTTTTAGATACAAAATTTTGCTTATTTTTTAATTTAGTTATTAGAGGAGTAGCTGGGGGTTTTAGATCCTCAATGTTTGATTGACTGGAAGCGGTTGCTGACGCTAGTTTCAGACATTGACGAACCTTCGATGGCGAAGAAAGATTATTCTCTACCGCCGAATTTATATGGAAAATATTTTCTTTATAGCGTTCTGCTTGTATGTTGACGGTTGTGATGCCGGAATTCTCGGACGAGCAAGATGAATCCTTTATAATTGAAGTCGATGGCATCTGTGATGAAAAATTCGACCTGCTAACTATCGGCGACGTGCTTGAAGAAGCTATTGAATCTTTTCCAAGGTTTGAGTTGAATTTACTGTCAATGAAGCTCATAGATGGTAGTTCATCATTTACATCAATCGTCGGTGTAACCAAAAGACGGGAAGTGATCGTTGTTTTGGAAGGTTCCAACTCAATAGAGACAATATTGAAAGAACTTGTCACCCCGTTCTCTTTGCTCAAGTTAGGTGACTCTTTGTCAACAACTCCGTTACTTTTTGCTCTGCTCAACTTAGGTGACACTTTGTCAACATCTCCGTTATTTTTTACTCTGCTCAACTTAGGTGAAACTTCGGCAAAAACTCCGTTACTCTTTGCTCTGGCCAACTTAGGTGACTCTTTGACAACAACTCCGTTACTCTTTGTTCTGGCCAACTTAGGTGACACTTTGTCAAAAACTCCGTTACTCTTTGTTCTGGCCAACTTAGGTGACTCTTCGGCAAAAACTCCGTTACTCTTTGCTCTGCTAAACTTAGGTGACTCTTTGACAACAACTTCGTTAGTCCTTTGCTGAAGGTCACGCTGCTTCTGCTCGTTCAGAGAACCTTCACAGGTATCAAAAATTCGCCGATATCTCTCGAAGCGACTTTTGAAGTCGCCCAAAGATTCTGCTTCACTTTCACTTCGTTCCCAATTTTCAACATGGCTTCCAGCACCGTCCTGCTTCGCCAAGCAAATGGTTGTCGATGAAATACAATAGTTCTGTTTACGTACATCATCCACTCTTCCACCAGCATCATCCGCGTAGTCTATAGTGACATGCTCACCGTTTTCTACTTGTATGTTACTCATAAGGACGAGCTTTGCTACTCACACTCTCTGGCATACTGAACGTTGTGGGTTAAAACAAATTCAGCCACGATGCTGCATAAACAAATCAATTCAATTAAGCATAATTTTCAAGCACTGTTGGTAAAAAGTGCTCAACTAACTAAGAACAATTTTTCTTTCGCCTTGCACTGCATTGTTGCAATAAAAGAAATTAACGTCCCAATATTTTTTTTAAGAACAACATTCACGCAAAATATTATTCTGGGAGTTGGCAACTTCAAAAGTTGCCATTTTCAGGAGCATTTCATGCTAGCTTTAAAATAATCCTGGAAAAGAAACTTACAGTGATTAAGCTTATTCATGATAAAATCGCCCTTTTCAGCGATTAGAATAAAAATAAAACAAACCATTTATAACGAGAAAAATGAACATTCTATAAATATATTTATATATATATAAAAAAATTATACATTCCTTTGGTCGCTCTTTCGGTGTATATTCTAGGGCTGAGATGAACATTTTTTTGCAGTTTCCAAGTAAAGAGGAGAATTATAAGATAACCAAGGCTAAATTTACGACGAAACTGCGAGCACAGCCACACTGTCGCGGTCGGTACCTCGACATCGAGTAGAATTTCGCACGCAGACCAGTTTCTTGTCTATGATTGATGGATTTTGCTTGAAATGCCGTCAATGATTGGCTGATGAACTTACGATCTCTTAACTTTTTTTGAAAGTATGGGCCCAGGCCGGCGACATCTAAGCTTGTAACCTAGCACACAGCTAGTTTTTAAAAAATCCTGAAAAAGAAACTTACAGTAAAAATCTGCATGATAATTGAACGATATACTGAACAGTACATTGAAATTTTTGTAATCAGCACAGTTCACTGCAAACCAAAAAATGAAAACCCATTCATGATTAAATCGCCCCATTCAACGATTAAAATAAAAATAAAACAAAACCATTTATAACGAGAAAAATGAACCTTCTATGTATACTGTAGTATACATATATAATGTTAATGAAACATTCCACTTGACGCTCTTTTGGTATATAGTCTAGGGTTGAGATAAACATTTTTTTGGCAGTTCCTAAGTAAAGAAGAGACAAGTTTAGAAGAATTATAAGATAGCCAAGGCTAAATTTACGACGAAGCACGGAGCACAGCCACACTGTCGCTGTCGGTACCTCGACATCGAGTAGAATTTCGTACGCAGACCAGGGGTCATACTTTCAAAATTCGTGAACGTAAGTACTTACGCTTTATTTTCTAGTCTATGATTGATGGATTTTGCTTGAAAGGCCGTCAATGATTGGCTGATGAACTTACGATCTCTTAACTTTTTTTGAAAGTATGGGCCCAGGCCGGCGACACCTAAGCTTGTAACCTAGCACACGACTGATTATAATACACGAATAACACGACGCAAACACACGCACCGCACAACATGAAAGGCTCTCATAGCCATCGCACTGCGGGAACAAACTAACATCGCTGTCTGAGAAGTCGCCAACGTCATCCTTAATGATGGAGCCTCGGAGGCCTTGAATTTTCTTACGAGGTTGACGGCTTAAGATTGGCGACTTAAAGTTGGTGGTTTAAGGATAACGGCTCAAGGTTGGCGGCTTAAGGTTAGAGGCTTAAGGTTGGCGGCTTAAGGTTGGCGGCTTAAGGTTGGCGGCTTAAGGTTGGCGACTTAAGGTTGGCGGCTTAAGGTTAGAGGCTTAAGGTTGGCGGCTTAAGGTTGGTGGTTCAAGGATAACGGCTCAAGGTTGGCGGCTTAAGGTTGGCGGCTTAAGGTTAGAGGCTTAAGGTTAGAGGCTTAAGGTTGGCGGCTTAAGGTTGGCGACTTAAAGTTGGTGGTTTAAGGTTAACGGCTTAAGGTTAGAGGCTTAAGGTTAGAGGCTTAAGGTTGGCGGATAAAGTTGGTGGTTTAAGGTTAGAGGCTTAAGGTTGGTGGCTTAAGGTTGGTGGTTTAAGGTTGGCGGCTTAAGGTTGGCGGCTTAAGGTTGGTGGTTTAAGGATAACGGCTCAAGGTTGGTGGCTGAAGGTTGGCCAATGCGGAGTTAGCGTTCATCACATCACTGCTCAAATATCACCCATACTCATTACATCACTATACGGTGCCTCCTCATGCACCACATCACTATATCAACACCATCATATCACCACATCATCACATCATCATGTAGGGAGGCTCATCCATCAGCCGCCAACGTGCGATCAGCGATCGTTTCTCAAGCGGCCTCGTGACCTGCTGGCCTGTGAGGCCTCATCGCCTGTGAGGCCTCATCGCCTGTGAGGCCTCATCGCCTGTGAGGCCTCATCGCCTGTGAGGCCTCATCGCCTGTGAGGCCTCATCGCCTGTGAGGCCTCATCGCCTGTGAGGCCTCATCGCCTGTGAGGCCTCATCGCCTGTGAGGCCTCATCGCCTGTGAGGCCTCATCGCCTGTGAGGCCTCATCGCCTGTGAGGCCTCATCGCCTGTGAGGCCTCATCGCCTGTGAGGCCTCATCGCCTGTGAGGCCNAACACATTCATCACAGGTAACACATTCATCACAGGTAGCACATTCATCACAGGTAACACATTCATCACAGGTCTTGCCCAGTGATGAAAGACTTTTAAGGCCATTGCAACCTTTATCTAGGGTACTAACGGCACCATTTATGGTCATGACAAAAATAATGGAAGATTTAAATCCTCTACAACCTCTTTATAGGAAACTAACAACGACATTTATGGGCACCTTTAAAAAAGTATGGAAAATTTTAAGGCCATCACAACCTTCATCTTATAAACTATATAACGGCACCATCTGTGGGCACAACAACAGCTATAAATAATAGAACACGATTATATCATATAATAAACATAATATACGATTATCGTCTAATTCTATGAATTAGACGATAATCGTCTAAATTAGAATGACGATTGTCGTCATTCTAATCGTCTGGAGGACGATTAGAAAGTTATAAGTATCAATGATTTCAACGTCAATACAAAAGCAATACAAGTAATATAAGGTAGTCAGTATATACAAAAGCAATACAAGTAATATAAGGTAGTCAGTATACATCTCTACCCAGATCAAGGTCAACATTGACAATATGTGGAACGCGTTTAATTACGTACAATGCGTCTTTTCGTGTACAATGCGTCTTTTCGTGTACAATGCGTCTTTTCGTGTACAATGCGTCTATATTAATGATATTAATATTAATAAGAACAATACTATGTACAATGCGCTTAATTATGTACAATGCGTCTCTTCATGTACGTTGTTTTCGCGGCGCTTCCGGAACAGAGCAGATTATCAGATCTTTTTACCATGTATTTTATTCACACTTAATGTTGAAAACCAATATTGCGAATAACAGATCAGGAAAATGAGCTTAAGACCATGAAAGAATTTCCGATATTCTAAAATCGTGAGCATCTGATTATAGTTCAGCAAGATGGAGAAGTTTGGCGCGGGTAAACAAGGATTGTATATTTTTTTCCCATATAGTAAGTGTTGTAGACGGTCTAAAAATGTAAAGTGATTATAATTTATTGCATGAATGAAATTAACTGTTATTAATACTGTGAACTGTGTTAAATTAACTATTAATTAACGCATCTCACAGCCTATGGCGCTGCTGTTAGATTTACTGTAATTCACGAAATTTTTAGGAAAATCGTCAATTAATATGTCTGATATTGAAAACAATAAATGAAATTTATTGCGGGTTTTTCATAAGCAATTTTCAAGTGTAATTTGGGTATATAGCTTTATGCTCCATGAGTAATGAGGTGGAATTATAGCTTAAATTGAGTTGAATAAAGGAATTGAAGTAAATATTTCTGGTTGCGTCGTGTATAGTCAAATGTGATGCTTGCTACCTGTTAAGAAACACGTAACATTTTCTCAACATTTTTAGTGCCTCTGAACAAAGTAGTGCAAAGGATAATTTTTATTGCTATCAAAACAGACGGACTAGTGGATATTTTCTGAAGTAATTAATAGCTCATTTACATTTGATACATAAAATTTCAGTTTAAATTCAATGCACTCAAGTTGCCCTATTCCCAGGAGCTCTCTGCCCAACCCTGAAACAAATGATGCCTCGGACATGTTCAGTAAACAATAAACTTGCAATAAGTTTGAAAGTGATGGTGTCTCTTATATAGCTGCTGATATTACCATGCATGGCTGTTAAGTTATAATAATGAAGTAAAACTAAAGATTTAAGAATTCATGAAATAAAATAATTACTTTGAGAATTAATTTCTAGTACAAATCCAATAACTGAAGTGTGACATTTCCCGAGTGCCCGATACAAATGTTGGAAACGAAACTCAAATTCTTCCACGAAAATCACAACTGAAGAATGAAGAGAAAGCATCTATGATAATTAATCGTTTTCAAGCGATTTTTGGTCTAAGTAATACTCCAAGGTTCTTTCTTTACAATAAATGCAATAACTTCTATTAAGAAGTGAAGATGTTCCGAATTCGTAATTCATTAAACTAAAAATCTTACTAAATTTTTGTTCTGAAGGTAAGGTAAAGGTAAATATTGTCATTCTGTAATTTCATTCAATAAAATAAAATGTTCAAAATTTCAATGTATTTCTCGGTGTTTACAATTCAAACTCGATCTGGAGATTGCAATTTTTTCCATAATATCGGTCCAGAGAAATTGGTGGTTTAATCTTCAAGTTCAACTTTACATCCAAATTTCCCTCGAGTTTAAATCAAAAGATGAATCCAATAAAATAAAATGTTCAAAATCGCAATCTATTTTTTGATGTTTATTATAATTCACACTCGATCTGGAGATATGAAAAATTGTCCACCATTTTGATCCAGAGAAATTGTTGCTTTAATCTTCAAGTTTAACTTTACATCAGAATTTCCCTCAAGTTTAAATCAAAAGATGAAGAAACAAGTTGACACGTCCAGGCAGCTGGAGCTGACACGGGCATGGCAGCAATATGGGGCAAACCAAGTTTCTTATCCCCAGTGCAACACC